TTATAGGGTCGGAAATGATTATTTCGATGCGTTACAAACGGAAAAACAAAACTAATATGCCCTCCATACTATGGTGGAGGGTATAAAAAAACAGTGAGCGGAGCAGTATAGTCGAAAGGGGCCGACCATACGATACCCTACACAACTACCACGGAACTTTAACTTTCTGCGGATGTTTAGTTCGAAGTTGGGCAATATTTCGTGATATTAAGTTTCATCCCAAAATTATTATCTGATCATCACCGAAAATTATAGGGTTGTCCTTGACCATAACTGGGCGATATATTTCCGTCCCAGTTAGGCGGAAATATATCTGATCATCACCGAAAATTATAGGGTTGTCCTTGACCATAACTGGGCGATATATTTCCGTCCCAGTTAGGCGGAAATATAGAGCCCCAGTTATGTCCAGAAGGACATAGACCCGAGAAGTTGATAGTATATTCAAGAGGAGTGGTTGACCTTTAAATTGATACCAATTATATTGTCGTATGTACTCGGATGAGGGAGTAACCACACTAAATCTCATCCGAGTACATATGCTTATTCTTTGGCAGATCCCCTTCTCCAGGTAAAATGAGCCTCTGGAACGGCCTAAAAATCTGACAAAAATAACGTTTTTGCTCTATTTCATCCCCTAAATATTAACTGATTTTTGCCAAAAAAGGTTCTTCATTGGGCAGAACCCATCCTACATGCAAATTTTCGTGAAGATAGGTCCATAACTGTGGCCTGTATCGTGTTTACAAATTATAATGGACAGACGGACGGACGGACACACATGTCTAGATCGACACAGCTAATCGAGATATGATTGGTACAATTAAAGGTGGATCTATGACCAATATTTCGCGGCGTTACAAACACTTGGGGCTGTACACAGCTATATTACCTCGACAACATAGTTGTGTAGGTATAAAAAGCTACCGATTTTATATTTAGGGTGAAGGAAGGTATTGAACATAAAACGAAAATGTTAGGTTCCAAATATGGCTTCTCAATTGGGCATTGCCCCTCATATAATGATAACTCCAAATAATTGGTAATTAGTACACGTTGTAATCAATGTTGATCACATTGCCCTGTAAATCTTTGAAAAACATTGTTTTCACTGGTTCACTTATTTCTAATATGCCCTATATAAATATCCCAACCATTTTTGTTTACATCGGAAGTTTGAACCACACTTCCCAAGCTCATTCGCCATAGTATAGTTCAATATGGGGCTGGGCCGGAAATAACCCGTAAGGGGACCCCCACATTCACAGTGTCAAAAATTCAAGAATGTCTCTACAAAATTCCACGTGAAAATCTCAACAATTTTTAAAGATATAGCCGATTTATTGTGCTAGCATCAAGTGACGGCAAGAGACCTTTTCAAACGTTAAACGCATTTTTCTCCAAACAGCGTTTTGCGAATGGCGGGCACGATAACTCAAAAACTAATAATCCGATCGATTCCAAATTTTGGGACGTTTCGCTGTGAGTGTATAGCTATCGTATGAACTAGGATAAATCCAAAGGAAAATCTTCCTTATTTTTAACTTGGTTTGTGGTAAAAAATAGGCGATTTCCCAAAAATATTATTTCAAAGGTCTGTCATTTTGTTGATTTTTTTGCTTTAGCTTTAAATCTCCAAATATATATCTGTAAAGTTACAAACCTTATTATTGTATTGATTTACCAGCCCATTGAAAATCTTCAAAATTTAAAATCGAGAATGGGGGGTTCCCTTAAAACACATTTTTTAAGCTGCAACATTTGTAAACCAAGCTATTAATGAAAATAAGGTTTTAAAAGACAATTCTCAACTGACTTAAACCCCTTCTTCTACTATCAATTACATTAAAAAGTTTGATGTGATAAATCGTGGATCTTTGACGAATGTTTCAATGTACATATGTAAGTGAACTATAAACCAGTAAGGAAAGTAGTAAAGTCGGAATGGGCCGAATATATGATACCCTTCACCACATTGGGTATATTAAGCATAAGTATCCTAAAAGACGTCGATTTTTCGAAGGAAAATTGACATGAAGTTGAACGAACTTAAATATGTGATCTATATCTGATCTAATAACATTAACCCCTACACCGATTTAAAGCGAACTTAACATACGCTATTCGGTATCTCAATCAGACACTCATTGATTATTTGGTGTACAATTAACATGACTAAGTTCGAAATTATATATGGAAGCTATGCTATATCTATATCTGAATCGATTTCAGGGAAACTTGCAGAGAGTAATTAATATTACATCAGTACGTTGTGTCAATCGGACTAGCTATGGATCTTTAGTGCACCATTTGCCAAAAATCGGGCGAAACTATATATAGGAGCTATATCTAAACCTTAACCGATTTTCACAAAACTTAGCACACGTCTTTCTAGACTTAATTCAGTACGCTATGCCAAAATTCGTGCAAATCGAAAGATTTTAAGGGACTTTGGTGCACCTTTTACCTTAAATCGGGCGAAACCATATATATGGTAGCTATATCTAAATCTGAACCGATTTACACGAAACTTAGCACACCTCATTCTAGACATAATTCAGTACGCTATGCCAAAATTCGTGCAAATCGAAAGATTTTCATGGACTTTGGTGCACCATTTACCAAAAAATCGGGCGAAACTATATATAGGAGCTATATCTAAATCTGAACCGATTTTTCCCAATTTCAATAGGGTTCGTCCTTGGGCCAAATAAATGAGTTGTACCAAATTTCAGTCAAATCGGATTATAAATGCGACCTGGACTTTGTTTACAATTTAACATCAACAGACGGACGGAGAGACGGACGAGCATGCATAAATCGACTCAGATGGTGATTCTATGCATATTCTCAAAAGGAACCATAGGTCTATCTCGATTCCTTTTGCCTGTTACAAACATATGCACAAAGACATAATACCCTGTACCACAGTGTGGTGAAGGGTATAAAAAAACACAATTAGTCACTCATAAGTAAACGACACTTAAATAAGTTTACACACACCATTTCACTTAACGACAGGATAACAAACACTCCCACACGCACACACATACACTGATGCTGCAAGAGCAAACGCCAAAAACACCAACAGACATTTTTTTAACGAACTTGGTAACCGATACGATACAACGAATGCCTTTTTTGTCGGATGCTCAAGATGGATGAGCACACAGAAAGCCAGTCACTCAACAATGTGTTTATCAGTCTATTGCGGAAGAGAAGAGGCAAAGTAACTGTTGCACACATATATTGTTCAGTATTTTTAGGAAATGTAAATGTAATTTTATTTACGCCTTGACAGGATGTCAAACATAAGCAGATATGAACAAATTAATTTCAAGAATTGTACGACTGAGAGAAATATGATTAAGGTGGCCGTGCATGAAATAAAATATGTGCATGTGTGTTGCTCAAAAACATTGTTTAATAAAAAATGTTTATTTAATTATATATGCAAGTAAAAAAATGCTCTAATGGAGTACAATTACGATTTTCACGAATACTTCCGTTAAGAAGGTATAAAATACCATCAAACCTTTTAATGTTGAAAGGATTCTAAGGAATGTTGAAAAATAACATGTGTGTGTATTTGGATTACATGATGATTTTACGGAATGAAAACTAAATACGTTTTGGAAGATCTAAAGAATTCTTTGGAAAGAAAAACTAAAGTGAAATGAGTTCCTAGAACGGACAAAGAAATTGTTTCGAAGCTTACGAGAAATACGTGCAAATGTGTTATCCGATACGGAAATATGTGGAATTTGTTGTCGAAAGTGACTAAACAACACAGGCGGTGATATAAAACAGAAATTTGAAAAATCTATCACAGGCTTATATTATTTCAACATTCTTAAAGCACGCCTGGTTGAAGGAATGTTCAAAAGTCGAACGGGCCGATGATACCCTTCACCACTTTGGGTATATACAAGAGCTGTTCATATGTAGAACATCCTGTCGATTTAAACCAATTTAAATTAATACAAATACCATTTTGAAATTAGTAAAGAAATTGCATGTGAATCGAGCTGACTTTTCTGGTAGCCCTATATAACGGAACCCTTAATTTTTCAGTATTTTTGGGGTAATTTAGTACTTGGAGTTCTTATTGGGTAGAAAATATCTCCATAACAAAATTATAAATATAGTTACATTTTTCGGGTAGCCCCCATATAAGGTTTCCCCCAATTTTCGGTATTTTTGGGTTCTTGAGCGCTTTTTTCAACCGAATTCGCTGTAATTTGGTATTTTGTGGTCGTATATGGTAAAAAATTGCACTACCAAAAATTATTAATATTCACCCCCTTTTTGGGGTAGTCCCCTTTTTATTTATGATGTGGGCTGTCCCCGTATAGGCGTATTTTACCATAGCATGGGGATATTCGTTACTCGAAATTATCAGTGTTTACCCTCTGTCGATTTAACAATCTTTTGTAAACCTTCTACCTTCGGAAGTCATCGAGATAAAAATTTCGAACGTTAGGTTCGAGAATAAACCAGTAAGGAAAGTAGTAAAGTCGGACGGGGCCGACTATATCATACCCTTCACCACTTTGGGTATATTCAACAGATGAATCCTAACATACGTCGCATATTTAAAGCACCAGTAAAATCAAATTGGATCCATAAACACTTCATTGTGCAACCGATACTGAACTTTTCACTTGGTTAGATATTGAAGCTTTATCTAAATCTGAACCGATTTCAGGAAACTTAACACACATCATTCTAGACGTAATTCATTACGCTAGAAAGATATTAAGGGACATTGGTACATCATTTACATTAAATCGGACGAAAATATATATGGGATCTATATCTAAATCTGGACCGATCTTCAGAATACTTAATACACATCATTCTAGACGTAATTCAGTACGCTGTGCCAAATTTCCTGCAAATCAAAAGATATATATATATATATATATTTTTTTTTTTTTTTTTTTTTTTTGAAGGAAAGCAAAAAATTTCGGAGAACAATTTCTGTTCGAATTGGTCACCTTTGGCACGAATTATGGCCTTCAAACGGCCAATGAAACCGTCACACGCTGCCCGAATGTTGCTCTGCGGATTTTGGCCCATTCCCGGCGAAGCGCTTGCTTGAGGTGATCGACACTTTGGTATTTTTTAACCTTGCTTTCCAAAATACTCCAGACACAATAGTTCAACGGACTGGTATCCGGAGATTTTTGTGGCCATTGTGTTCTAGAAATGAAGCGAGGAACCTCATTTTATAACCATTCTTGGGTGGCGCGTGCTGAGTGCGATGGTCAAGGCTTTAACACAACGTCCAGAATATTTTCGCGATAATATTCGACATTTATTCTGATGCTACGGTCGATTAATATGTGCGACCATCGGCTGTTATGGCGGCCCACACCATCACCATGGCCCGCGCTTGAGTTCTGGTGGCCAACCGAAGGTGCACATTTTCAGCTGACCTATTTGGCTGGACAACGAATGTTTTCTCATCGGAAAAAACCAAATTCGGGAATTAACCAATTTCGGCTAAGCCAAGCTACTCTTTTGAATCTAATTTTTTTCTGTTATTCGTCCACTTCCTCGACGTGGGGCTACGCTACCAGTATCACTGTAACGAAATTTCATCCAAAAAAATCAAGATAAGAGGTGTTAGTATTTTTATACCCTTCACCAAACTGTGGTACAGGCAAAAGGAAACGAGATAGACCTGTAGTTCCTTATGAGAATATGTATAGAATCACTTTCTGAGTCGATTTATGCATGTCCGTTCGTCTGTTGGTGTTAAATTGTAAACAAAGTACAGGTCGCATTTATAATCCGATTTGGATGAAATTTGGCACAGCTCATTTATTTGGCCCAAGGACAAACCCAATTGAAATTGGGAAAAATCGGTTCAAATTTAAATATAGCTCCCATATATATTTTCGTCCGATTTAATGTAAATGATGCACCAAAGTCCCTATATGTATTTAGATTTTCACGAAATTTGGTACAACGTACTGAATTGAGCCTAGAATGATGTCTGCCAAGTTTCGTGAAAATCGGTCCAGATTTAGATATAGCTCCCATATATATATTTGTTTGAGGTCGATTTACATACTTTTGTCCCAAACAATATCATGTTAATATTCCTGTTTAATATACCCATAGTGTTGAAGGGTATCATATAGTCGGCCCCGTCCGACTTTCCTTACTTGTTAATGTTTGCCTTTAAGTCTTTAAAAGTAATTGCGAACTTCATACATTTCCCAACTAATGTTGGAGGAAAAACAACAAAGTTCTTTTTATAACATCTCAATTCTACGATGTGTTTTGGCAGCAAATAAATAAACAAATTCATTCTTTTATTCAATTTACGCGCGGTTTTATTAGGCATGCTCAGTGTCTGCAGGATTTAACACGTGGTACAGCAATCATCATACTCATACATGTGTCAAAGACAATAACATGTTTTACGACATATCACATCTGAACGACAAATCCCAACAACTTGTTGGACGTTAGGTAAGGACAAATAAAAGGCCAGCAACTCTTCAAATTGCTCAACAGTTTACAGAAGGACATCGGTCGAATAAATCGAAAATTTAAACGCGAAAGGGATAAACGGAAAGATATCGTTTTGATGTTTAACAATTACCAGTGCTTCGTCTAAGCAAAAACAAAAGTCATCGTTCGGTTATTTAAATTACCATAATGGCAACAAGTGGCTTTTTGTGAAGTAAAAATGGGAAGGAAATTTTAATTGATAATAAGTAGGGGAGACTGGGGCACCTTCGGCACTTTTTTTTTAGAGCTCTATATCTCAGTACTTATTCAACATATATAACAACTTTATGGCTGATTATTGTCCTCTGACACTTAATTATGAAAAATAGTACCAAAAATATATAAAAAAATAGTATTAGTTAAAAAATTTTACAGTTTTGTAAAAAAAGTCAAATTCGCCAAATGTGCCCCAACCCGGGGTAGCTTCGGCATTTGATGGGGCACATTCGGCACCATAGTCATAGCCGGGTAATTGTCATCGCTATCAGCCTGGTTGAAATTCTAATCCTCTAAAGGCTCTATTTGGTTTTAATACGCCACACAATGTTTGAATTATAGGGCTTTATTTTCTAGCGGCGGACGTTTACATCTCAAGGTCGCACACAGCATCAAAAATAGAGGTTTTCTATCGCATTTTCGTCAATACAAGCACGTTTGATCTTACATATGCAATTTCGAACCATATTAAAGGATTAATTTTAAAGACAAACTCAAAAACATTTTAAGGAAATAATATTGCACAATCTGTATATGGCCGAATGTGCCCCACTTTAAAATGCCGAATGTTCCCCGAATGTACTTTTTATAGTTTTTTTCATTTTTTTCGATCAGTTTTGTAAAAATATTATATTTTTAAATATTTCTATAATAATACACATCGTAGTTAACCACTTTTTAATAATATTGTCTTAAAAATTTAAAAAGTTTTGTACACGAAATACTTACGAAATGGAATTGAAAAATTACATAAACATTTATAAAAATATGTATCTAAATAAGCTTATTAGCTAGAAATTTCAAAATTTGTGTCAGTTATTTATTTCGATATTCGATACTTATGTATCGAAACTAGAGATGTACGGTGAGAGCTTCATATTGAAAACGCGATTGCCGAAGGTGCCCCGATGCCGAAGGTGCCCCAGTCTCCCCTACTGGAAGGAGCATATTAGCATATTACAAAAACAAAGACGTACAGTTGTTAAATCAAATCCCCAGCGTACTTGTGTAAATAAGCAAATGAAGAGACATGAAGAAAATTGTGTTACAACAAATCGGTGTTTATTTTCTTATGTAAATGAAAGCAATTTATGGCAATTATTCTGTATTTATTCGCCTAGAATCTATTGCACAAGCTTCAAAGCATCGTATAAAATAATAAAAACTTTAATGAACGAATTAAAGTACATACATAAAAGTACACCTTATCAAGAAATTGCAAGAATTTAAATATGTAACATTTATCTAAAAGCTTGTAATCATTCGTTTGTTGCAATGGAACAAAATTATGTAAATCGATTTAAAGCACATATCAATCGGACATCCGTTGAATATTTGGAGCCAAACTAACACGAAATCGGTCAGAAATATATTTGGACTATGTCTGTAACTCTACAAAACGTAATCAGTAAGTAAAGTTCAAAATTCGGAATATGATACCCTTCACCACTTTGGGTACATACAAGAAATTTTCCTGTAGATAGAACATACATATAATCTTTGGAGGATTACTGAGATAGAACCGGGTGAAATTAAATGTGCTATCTAGATAGATATTTGAACCAATTGAAAAAATCCCATATATTAATACCCTCTATATCTAAATCTGAACCGATTTTCACGAAACTTCGAAGACATCAGTCTGGACCTAATTCAGTAGCCAGTGCAGAATTTTGTCCCAATCGGACAAATATTGGGAGTTTGGTGAATCATTCCCCAAAAAATCAGACGAAACTATATATTGGAGTTTTATCTAAATCTGAACCGATTTGAACAAAACTTCGCCGACATCTGTCTGGACCTAATTCAGTACTCTGTACAAAATCTTGTGTCAATCGGATAAATATTGGGAGTTTGGTGCATAATTCACATAAAATCGGACGAAAGTATATATGAGAGCTACATCTAAATCTGAACCGATTTAAGAAAAACTCACAGACATCGATCTGGACCTAATTCAGAACTCTCTGCAAAATTTTCTCCCAATCCGCAAATATTGGGAGTTTGGTGTATCATTCACAAAAAATCGGACGAAACTATATATTGGTGCTATATCTAAATCTGAACCAAACTTCGGAGACATCAGTCTGGACCTAATTCAGTACTCTGTGCAAAATTTTCTCACAATCGGACAAATATTAGGAGTTTGGTGCATCATTCACATAAAATCGGACGAAACTATATATGGGAGCTATATCTAAATCTAAACTTCGCAGACATCAATCTGAATATGATTCAGTACTCTGTGCAAAATTTTCTAACAATCGGACAAATATTGGGAGTTTGGTGAATCATTCACAAAAAAATCGGACGAAACTATATATTGGAGCTATATCTAAATCTGAACCGATTTGAACAAAACTTCGCAGACATCAGTCTGGACCTAATATAGTACCCTGTGCAGAATTTTGTCCCAATCGGAAAAATATTGGGAGCTTGGTGCATAATTCACATAAACTCGGACGACACTATATATGGGAGCTTAATTTAAATCTGAACCGATTTCAACAAAACTTCGCATACATTAGTTTGGACCTAATTCAGTACTCTGTGCAAAATGTTGTGCCAATCGGACAAATATTGGGAGTTTCGTGTATCATTCACATAAAATCGGACGAAACTATATATGGCAGCTATATCTAAATCTGAACCGATTTGAACAAAACTTCGCAGATATCAGTCTGGACCTAAATTAGTACACTGTGCAAAATTTTCTCCCAATCGGACAAATATTGGGAGTTTGGTGTATCATTCACAAAAAATCGGACGAAACTTTATATGGGAGCTATATCTAAATCTGAACCGATTTTAACAAAACTTCGCAGTCTGGACATAATTCAGAACTCTGGGCAAAATTTTGTGACAATCGGACAAATATTGGGAGTTTGGTGCATCATTCACATAAAATCGGACCACTATATACATGGGAGCTATATCAAAATCTGAACCGATTCCAACAAAACTACGCACACATAAGCATGACCTGATTCATTGCGCAGTGCCAAATATTGGGAGTTTGGTGCATCATTTACATAAAATCTGACGAAAATATATACGGGAGTTGTATATAAATCTAAACCGATTTTCTCAAATTTCAATAGGGTTTGTCCTTGGGCCAAATAAGTGAACTGTGCCAAATTTCATCCAAGTCGGATCATAAATGCGACTTGTACTTTCTTAACAAAAATACATGGACGGACGGACAGACATGCTTAAATCCACTCAGGAAGTGTTTCTATGCATATTCTCAAAAGGAACCATGGGTCTATCTCGATTCCTTTTGCCTGTTACAAACATATGCACAAAGACATAATGCCCTGTACCACAGTGTGGTGAAAGGTATAAAAACAATTGGTGTATGCAACGGTTACTCAATTAGGTTCATGTGTTTATATATAGCTCCCATACATAAATTGACTCGATTTCATAAAAATGGTAAACCAAAGAATCCAAGTCTATCCGTTTGACATGCAATTTTTCATTCATTTCAGAATGGAATGTGTATGGGGGTTTTCAATTGG